CAAAAGGAATTATGTATTCTTCTACAATTAACGTCGCAGGTTGCGAAGTTTAACTTCTTCCGCGCGGAGGGACTCCAAGCACTATTTTTTTTTCTATTTTAAAGACTAAATTTTCAGAAAAAGTGGAATATTTATAAAAAAAGAAACTTATAGAGAATAGGAGTTTTTGATAAAAAGGCTGAAATTCGAGAAACAGAAGCGGAAAACCGCTAAAACGCGGAAAAATCTCATCCCTATGAAATGTAATTTTAAATTGGTTTCGTATTGGTAGGAAAAAAAATAAAAATGTTAATTTTTTTTCCTCGGAAATTCGAAAAAGACAAACTCGTCTTTGGAGGGACAGATTTTTTTCTTTTTCAGTAACAGTAAAAAAATTTTAGATGGTGACAAATTTTCCGCAAACGGAGTTCGCGAGTTCCTGTTTATTATACGAGTCTGTCTAACACTTATCGGAGTCGGAAAGAAAGAAAAAGTAATTGCAGAATCGAACAAAACAAAAATAAATAACAGTAGAAAGCTGACTGTAGTGCAACATTTGCTAATGAATTAAGTAAAGGTGAGAAAAGTAAATTTGCTGATGCTCAAAAATGGCACTTCACGTTATAAGTCATCAGAATATGAAAAATTTGTTTGATTCGAGCAATAAGGAATTATTTAGAGCTTAAATATCGCATCGAAATTACTTGAATTAATTGTGAAGTAAGTGCTTTAATTAAATTAATCCGTGCACCTTTACAAATATGTTAGAAATTGTTCACACGGATATTTGTGAACATAAAAAATATACTTTCAATCTGTAAGTCATGATGTTTCATTACTTTCATCGATAATTATTCCCGTTATTGTGCAGTTATATTTTTGAAAACAAAAGCTGATAAACTTGATGCATTTATAGAGACTAAAAATCTTTTGTAAAATAAAAAAACCTTAAAATAAGAGAATTGTGGGGAATTTGTTAATCATAACTGAAATTTTCTTAAAAGAAAATGGTACTGAGCTTAGATTAACGGTCCCATATAGCCCAGAATTTGCAGGGCTTGCTGAACGCACAAATCGAATTCTTGCTGAAATGGTGCGTTGACGTTTACTTGAATCAAATTTAGCTCTAAATTTATGGGCAGAGACGATATATGCCGTAGAAAGAGATGCCCGACTAAAATACTTTACCGTTATTTATTAAACTTTCATTTATTTATTAAAACTCTTTACCGAGTTACGGTACAAAATTATTCCATAAATTTTGGCGCCTCCATGCAGCAAAATGTTTGAAAAATCGACCCAGTCATACATTTTCTAATAATCACACAAAAAAATTCTTGTGGGTTATTTAGCAGATAATTTAGTATTTATTTTCCCAACCAGGAGTCTGTTTAGAAGAAATTTGGGTCGGTTAACGGACCCTTCACAAAATATCTTTTCATAAAAACGGACCCTTCACAAAATGATTTTTCTTTTAATCGGACCCTTCACAAATTTGTTTATCTTCATTATTGTTTTGTTAATTGAATAAACCCTTCCCAGGGCATTAAACAAATNAGTGCCGAGCATAATCTTGTATCTATTTACAATTTAAAAACTCATTGAAAAAGTTTCTTTGCAATAAACGGACCCTATTTGCACAAATTCTTAAAAGCGGACGGACCTTTACGCAAGCGGTTGAAAGAATGTGAATAATTTTTATCACAATTTCACGAAAAACGGACCTTTCACAAAATGTCTGGACAGACCCCTGCCAACGATAATAGACTAATAAGTTCTAGAAGTGTAAAATTCTTAGAGGAGACCTCTCAAAACAATTGAGAAGGCCAATTATAAAATCAAAATCTGCTGAGAGAGAAAAATAAATCTCTTAAAGTGAAAGTAGAATTTCTGCAGCTGCACCCTCGACGAATGCTAATGACGACGGAACTTAAAACATATAAGTCGCAAGGAATCTCCAGACGATTTATTAACCAAAACAGAGACAGCAGGAGAAAAATACATTCTCTTGAATCGCGTATTAATACGAAATAATTACAGATAGAAAAGATTTAATTGCTGTAACACTGATATATGCATAGAAAACGCTCTTATAAAGTTCTCAAGCTCCTTGGTATAATGCTATGTTAAAAACTGTTTTGAAAAACATACTTTTTGTGTGTCAATCGGCCACTTTCAGAAGAATGTATAGCAGGGGTCTGTCCAGACATTTAGTGAAAGGTCCGTTTTTGTAAAATTGTGAAAAAATTACTCGTAAATTGTGAATATAAAATAAAAGTTAAGTCACATTCTTTCAACCAGGGTCCGCTTTTGGGAATTTGTCCAAATAGGGTCCGTTATTGCAAAAAAAACTTATTCAAGAAGTTTTTAAATTTTAAAGGCATACAAGATTATGCTCAACACTGTAAAATTATAATTAAGAAAATTAAATTTTAAAAAATAACAACAATTGCTGCCCCTAAATTAGCGATGCGACATATAAATATTTGATATTTAGCCTATACTGCTGCGTTTTTAAGTTAAAATATTTTGTGAAGGGTCCGTTTTTATGAAAAGATATTTTGTGAAGGGTCCGTTAACGGACCCAAATTTCTTCTAAACAGACACCTGTATAGGTAGTAGATTTGTGATTATTTATAAATATAATCGACATGGTACTTTTTTAAAAAAAACAAAAAAAAACAAAAAAACAAAACAAAGCTAAACTAGTATCGAAAGGGTTTAATAGAAAAACAGAGATAAATTATCAAGAAATCTTTACACATGTTGCTTGAATGGCATCAGTTAGAACTATGGCATGTCTGCTAAATTAGAATTAAAAATGTATGAGTTCGATTTTAACAAAAGGTGAATCAAATAACTGGATTTTTATGGAATGTCTTCACATTGAATTAATCATCAATTCTTGAGTTAATCGTAAATGAAAACTCAGGTAACAGCACAGCTAAGAAGCAGCTAGAATTCTAAATTATCTTAAAGAAGGAGATAAAGTTCTTTTTTTTTTTTAAGAAATCCCAATGGTTTAAAGCTGACAGGTAGGTGCTGAAATAACAAATGAAATTATATTTTGATTAATTTTTGAGCATAACAATCAAATGTAGATCCCTGTTTATATTATATTAAGAATGAAAAAGGGTTAACACTTTTTAATGATCTATGTTGATAAAAAATTTTTTATGTCAGATGATATCCATAAAATTGACATAACAACGAAGTGAATATGTGGAATTAGTTAAATATTGCCTAGGAATTTATTTTCAAATGAATTATGGAGTTAAGCCAACAAACTAACACTAAGAAAATTTTAGATCGCTTCGGTGTGACTGATACTGAAACTACATCTTGTCCTATGGATGTTAATATCAGATTACAATAAGTCGAAAAATGTTGAGAATATGAATACCCAAAAACATGGGGGCCGATATACTAACAAAGGCTTTAACATTTTATAAGCATTATGAAGACTTAAAAATTGTTAGGTATTGAAGATATTAAATTGGTGTTTGGGTAAAAGCATTACAAATGTTTTTACACCTACACCATCAATTGAAGATTAAGAATTGTCAGCATGTAGATTGAGTCTCACACTGCGCGTGTCCGGAGGACGATGCATATGTAAAACTTGTTTGATTGCTAATTGCTTTTTGCCCTGTTAAATATTAACGTTATGTATATTTATTAAATAAAACTTATGTTTTGCTAAATTATATGATTTGCTCAGCATTTTGTTAGTAAGCATAAAAATAAAATATTAAAGGAATAAAATAGCCACACTTACCAGAGTTAAATTTTTTTTAACTTCCGTGTTCAGCTTGAACTGGATTTTAGCACCAGCTGTAAACTTTGATGTATCTATCAGCTCTGAGTTACCCATAATTTGAGTATCTACGTCCTCGATAAAATTTTGAATCAGCCTGAAAAGTTAGAGGTTTACAATCATTTCACAAAGGTTATAACAATTGTTTGCGTCCAATAGGGTGCGCATAAAAAATAGCAATGAATGTTCAAAGAAATTGCGAAGGAATTGCACTCAACATGTAACTGTGGTGAAATACAATGAGCATTTGATTGAAATTAACGTTGAGATCCAAGCAGAATGGTAATATTTGGCCAATCAAAAGACATCTTTTCGCTCATCAAATATAGCCAAAACTGAAGTCATTAATTCAGGAATTTTTTTCAAAATTCTTTTACCTGCCAATAATTTGAATGACTCTAGCGTAAATATCTCAACTCATACTTAGCAGAAAAGCACGAGCTCGAAAAAAAAAATATCCGACATAACTGGAAAGCTTATGAAAAACAATCATTGCTGACAATATTTACTTTTAACACGCTCATGAAAGATGATCATGGCTCACATTGTCTTTTAACACGCTCATCAAAGATGATCATATCTCACATTGTCTTTTAACACGCTCATGAAAGATGATCATGGCTCATATTCTCGTTTTTAACAAGCTCGTGAAAGATTATCATGGCTCACATTCTTGATTTTTAACACCCTCATGAAAGATGATCATGGCTCTCATTATTGACTTTTAACGCACCCATAAATGATAATCAGAGCTCATATTCTTAAATTTTAACTATTTTACATAAATTCCTTACACTAGGAAAAATGCGAGTTTTTCAGAGACTTATTATTGCCTGCAACTGAGAAATTAATATAACATTTCTGAAGCTTTATAAACTTAAACAATTAATAGCTTGTCCCATGGCAAATAAGGCGCTCGTATATCAACTTTTTCTTATTCGTACTATATTACATTTATTAGATTTATATCCAATTGAAAATGTTAAAAAAAAAGAGAAAGAAAATTTTTTTTTTGTCTCATGTTTGAGGGAAAAAAGTGCAAAAAGTTTTGCAGGCATAGACTTATACCATGAGCTTCAAAACATAAAATCTATACTTATTTGAATTTTTCATCAAAAAGTGAATTTATCTAGATAACTAGAGATTTTTCCAAAAAAGTTTTTCCTCAACAAAAATATTCGATTGCATGAAGTTTCCCTTTAATAGTTCGCTATTATTATGCCCATATATTTGGTTTGCACCATTTTTATTATTTATGAACCACGTATAATCTTTTACTTTGCTGCCTTTTGCGCCAAACTAAAAAAACAACCTAAACCATTTAGTACTTACTTGATAACATAGTATTGTTTTCCCAGTGTTCTTCCACCGCCAATGCTGTCTCCCATTCTAGTTTCGAAGTTTTTCAGCTCCTTTTGGTGTTCGGCAAGTTTCTGAGATACATCTGTCCTCACTTGGGGCAAGAACTGCTTTATATGTGCTCTCAGAGTTTTCTGTAGCATTTGAATGAGATAAGGAATGCCCATTTTATGTTTTAGATGCCTAAAATAAAGGAAAAATTAAAACACAAACGCTTAATAAAACAGCTTCCATTTTAATACACCTTTCTAAACAAAACATTAAGAACAATTAAACTCAAAATTAGTATGACACGTTTCTTTAGTTACATAAAAAAAAAACATACAATCAAAATTTTGCACATTTTTTTAAAATTTTTTTTTCGCAGTAAACATAATCTTTGCACACAATCATAAAATTCGTTTATTTAATTATAATTCCATGCAAAATACAATTTTTAATAATTATTTTTCGATTACTTTATTTAAAAAAGTCAAACATTTTATTATTTGCGAATCACAGAAACATTTACGTTATTTTAAAGAAGGTAATTTTATGAGGAAAAATACAAAACTTAAACAAAATCGGTCGAATAGTTCCTCAGAAATCGAATTTTAAATATCTATGTTTCCTTTTTTCTCTTGCACACTGTACATGTATAAATACTCTGCACTATTCATTTTCTTGCGGCCTGTACATAAATATCGTATCTTCGCAAATCTGATATTGGTGTACATCATTCAGGACAATTTACATCATTTGTCCCAGACAATGCTTCCAAAAGCATCAACAATTCGACTATAAACATATCATTATGCTCACAATCGTTTGCAGGGTACGCAGTGTTTTTCTTTTAAATGCATCCATCTTAGCACGATTTTATCTGCACTTTAGATGCTCTCATGTGAATTGGTTTAGTTAGTTAGATGCGCGACGTGCGGTGCACTCTTACCATAATTTATAACTCCCATGAGCAGCTTTGTTATCACTGTTTTATTTTTGACGCTATTAAGCGTGTCTTCTTTTCACTAGGCTAAAAAGTTCATTTCGTTAGCAAAACTGAACTTGTTCAAAAACACTACTTACTTGTAAGCGGGATGGTTTTGGAAAAATTCTTTCTCCTTTTTAAGTATATACTCGAAGTCCTTTCCTTCTTCGATTTCCTTTTGATTTCTATTTACTACGCCGACATATCCTGCGAAATGGAATAAATAAACTTAAACTTTAAAAAAAAATCTACGGAGTAACTTAGTTTTTAAATAAGTATTAAAAAAAATTTTTTTTTTCGCAAATCATTTCTAGGGGTCTTTACTGATATTTTGTGAAATATTAAATATTTGTGAAAAATCTACTTAATTTCTTTGTTACTTTAAATATTTTGTAAAAGATCCGTTTTTACTAAAAAATAATTTTTGAAAGGTCCGTTAATGGACCCAAATTTCTTAAAATAAAACACCTGTTACATTAAATATTAGTTAGTTATTATAATGTTCCCACTTGCGTTTTTTAAACAAATAAAAATTAAATTAATTATTTTGCAATTACAAAACTGCAAACTTTCACGCAGTTTGCGTAAAATTTTATTTTTATACTTCGCATAAATTATACTTGGTAGTAAAATTTATGCATTCTATTTCATTCTTGACTTCAAAAATTAATTTAAATTAATCTTGACTACCACGACATCTAAATAACTCTTACCGATCGCAGTGCTGAAGAAAAATATCGCCAGTGATTGGCGGATGACGAGTTTGAGTCCCCTAGCCGTCATACTAACCGTGGGAGTTTTTCGTGGTTTTCCTTTCCATGTAACGCAAACGTGGGTTAGTCACATCAAAATGTCCTACACGAAGGCAAATTTCGCCCAATACTTGATCTAGGAGTTTCCTTGTCTTCTGTATTGGGTTCAAAATTACAAGGCTACGGAATTGAATGTTGGATAAACCCTTTACAAAATAGAACTCAATTTTCACTTAACTATCATTTAAAAGAATCATCTTCAGTAAGTTTAATAGTTGGCAGGTAAGTAATTAGGATATAAATTTAAATTTTAAACAAGCGAAATTACTTTCATTACCATATACTCGCACTTTATAAATTTTAAATCACCCACCTTTCTGTAAATAAATTTTTCTATTTTCCAAAACATCTTTAAAATCTCCACCATCATCGAGTCTATCAAGTTTAGTTATAACTCCAATGGTTCTTTCTCCTAAAAATAAAATGAAGACATTTGTTTTAAACACTGAAAAAAGAAGAAAAAAAAACAGTAAGAAAAAGCTTATGTATAATTAAATTAATCTTTTAAAATGCGTATTAATTTTTTTTTTCTTTTCCAAAGTTCATTAGTAAATTTAAATTTTGTAGAATAGACTTGTAAAAAGGGATTCCTTCTCCGAGAAACAATCACGGATACTTCTGTTGGAAGCAGTTCTCAAAATGAAATATAGATGACAGCACAAGTCATCATTATTTCATTTTGAGAACTACTTCAAACAGACAAAGAGAATTTTCAGAGTTGAGTTCAGATTTAATTGACTCCGGAACTACGTAACTGATTTTAATGAAATGCGGTTAGAACCAAGGACTGTAAGTTTCTTCTATAGTGGAAAAAACCCACCCCGGAAAAATAGGTTTTCAACACAAGTAGAAGAATCTCTTTTTCAAAATGAAATAATAAACTTTAAAATTTTTTTTTAAACAATTCATAACTGCAATATAGTTTAAAATATAGTATTAATTTTCAAGCTAGTATTTATTATATAATTTTTAGTCCCGCAGTGGACTGATCGTTAAGACACGGTTCCCAGCAGATCACCGAAGTCAAGCATCATTGGCTGCGGTCAGTGTGCGGGTGGGTTACCACTTGGATCAGTCTGCGTAGGGACCGAGGGTGTGCGGTATTGGTCCTCGTTAAACTGTTCAAACGTAAAGTGCTCGACTTCACGTGCAGGTCGTCGGGCTACCGAAGCGGGGGTGCCATCCCTCTGCGGAGGATCAAAATTGTGATGGCATGTGTTCGGATCATCCTCAGGGATGTTTCCCACACCGTCGCCAATAGCCCATTGCGCAGCTCCAGTGCGACGTAAATGAACAAAACAAACAAAGTATAATTTTTAAATAAGTAAAAACTAAAAAAGCAGTAATTGGAAAAAAATAAATTGTGCCAATTTCTTGAGAAATTAAAATAACAGTAATTAATTAAAAAAATTAATAAGAAGAAAGCTGTCATTTTTTAAAAATAAAGTAGGTATGAAAAACTTGTAACCGACTGGTATTATATGAAAATTAATATGTTTAAATTAAGGCTATGCTTATAATACTTATTGCTATAATGACAAAAAATTCTATTGGTCATTTTTAGTTTCTTCCATTTTGTCCAGTTTCTCCTTGCCTTTTCTTGTTTCTTTTAGTGTCCTAGAAGAAATAGGTTTCTTCTAGGTTCTTTCGGTTGACCCTTATTGGACACACTGAACGTTTGTAGTAAATAACATAAAGTGAGTATAAGTATCAAATATCTTTTCATGCATCACTCGTCATTGAACAGTGGGCAAAATGAAAAAACAAACCATCCTGAATAACTTCTGATTTAATAATCTGATCTTCACGTTTCAGGAGTAACTCTAGGTGCGAGAGGGTGACTTCAAATATCCTAATTAGTATAGACGATATTTTAAGTTACGACATTAGACGCAAAAACGTAATTGTTGTTTTATTTATTTATTATTTAATTATTTATTTATTTTTTGAATAACGTATTTCCTGATTAAACTATCTGGGCCATATTTTCAAGATTGCGGCTACCTAATGTAGAAATCTGATTCCGGCAAAAATAAGGTAGGTTTATTCAGAGAATGTACGTTTTTGTTTCTGATTTCGTATTCTTAATGCATGCACTAGTTAATTAGCATATTTGTAGTACCACCTCAAACCATTAAGATTGAGTCCTAAAACGTGAAAATCTCATCATTAGATCAAAAGTTATTTAGGGTGGTCTTTTTTTTATTTTATTTATTTGGGCACTGTACGCCTCTTATTTACTCGTTAATCAACAATCCTTTAAAACGGGATCAATCGTTTAGACTAACCCTATATATTATAGGTGGGCATTACAGAACACCCTATTATTTATGATTAGTAGTTAAAACTGGCTTACTTTTGGGATCCACTTCCCTAGCTATTTCAAGGGAATCACAAGTTAGGAAGTCTTGAGTTGCAGGAATGATGGCAAGAATGAGGGCTTCCTTGGGCTCAATATATTTCAGGACCATCTTGCGTACTTCCTGGATGTTACTAGTGGCATGCCCGTCTTGAACAATCCTGATCAAACCAGGCAAATCCACCACAGTCAACTTCAAAACTGACAAAGAAAAAATTTAACTAGTGTCATTCATACATATAAGTAAAAATATAATAGAAAATTAGATAGTTATGGCACCATATTTTCAAAATTTCAAGTTGATTTTTTATCCGTTTTAAAAGTATTCTTAGAATCTATTCCGTGGCCTCTGCTATGTAATAATTCATTTATTTAACTTTAGTTATATGTAAAATAAAGTAACAAGATTGAGATATTTATATGTAGGGAGTTACATTTATATGCCATGCTCGCTGACCCTCGAAACTGCTAACTCAGGTTCTTTGAAGATCGCTTCGTTTCTCGCATTTAATTTTAATCCTATTTAATACCCTAGATTTTAATACTTTAGCCCATCGTGATCGTATTCCGATGAAACTCAAAAGAAATCGGTAGACTGTAGCTTTCATACGACAAAAAATACAGGGGTTGGACAAAAATATGGAAATACCTTGTGAAATGCATGTTTGAAAAGAAAGATTGATTTTAATGAAATATATAGGTGGCGCTGGCGTTTTTGACTATTTACGCCACCTATACAACTTCGTAAATGTGCTAAACAGTTCAGTTGTTGTCGAAGTGCTGTTATGCGCGGTTGTCATTGCATTATGTCAGAGTTAATAGACTTCGAACGTGTGCAAATTGTTGGAGCACGTATGGTAGGTGCTTCCGTAAGCAAGGTAGCCGAGGTGTTTAGTGTTTCAAGAGGTACTGTATTGAAGATTTATTCCGCATATTTGAACAGCGGAAAAACATCATCTGCTAAATCACAGCGCGGACGAAAGAGTGTCCTGAGTGATCGTGACAGACGATCATTAAGGGCAATTGTGACGAAAAATAAGAAGACCACAGCTGCAAAAGTTACTGCTGAAATGAATGTTGTGTTACCGAACCCTGTGAGTACCAAAATAATTAGAAGGGAGCTTCATAAACAGGGAATTGCTGGCCGTGCTGCAATTGAGGAGCCACTCATCAGTGATGCTAATGCCCGTAACAGGAAAGGTGGTGTTTAAGTCATAAAGCCTGGACTATAGAGCAGTGGAAGCGAGTAATATGGCCTGACGAGTCTTCTTTCACATTGTTTCCCACTTCTGGCCGAGTTTACGTCTGGAGAACGCCATCTCAAGCCTATAATACACACTGCTTGTTGCCAAGAGTGAAACATGGCGGGGGTTCTGTTATGGTTTGAGCAGCCATATCGTGGTTCTCTGCTGGCCCCATGATAACTCTGTCAGGGCACATGACTGCCAAGACTTATGTGAAAATTTTGGCCGATCAAGTTCATCCCATGGTACAAACTTTGTTCCCCGATGGTGATGGTGTCCTCCAAGACGACAAAGCCCCAGTTCACACAGCTCACATTGTCCAGGACTGGTTTTCTGAGCACGAGGATGAGTTGTCCCATCTCCCCTGGCCCCCACAGTCACCAGACCTGAATAATATCGAACCTTTGTGGTCTACATTGGAACGGAAAGTGCGTTCTCGTTATCAACCGCCAACATCGTTATCTGAACTTGCCACCGTTTTGCAGGAAGAATGGTATAATATTCCCTTGGCAAACATACAGGAACTGTATTTATCCATTCCGAGAAGACAGCAAGCTGTTTTGGATGCCAACGGGTTTCCTACACCATATTAAGCAAAGAAACATGTTTTTTTGAAGGTGTTTCCATATTTTTGTCCAACCCCTGAAAGTAATAATAATAATAATTTTTTCATTTTATTTCAAAACTATTAGAGGGCTTAGCCCTCTGCTTGCTATCGTGTTTGAAAGTTAAAAGAATTGATACGCATTCGGGGTTTGGCATAACGAGCCTGTTTACTTTTGAACGGCTGCACCAATTATCATAATTGTTGTTGGTATAGTGAAGCTGTTTTTGTTACAAAATGAGATAAAACTGGAGTACTAGCGTTTCTATTTGAAAAACGGTACAAGATACAGTGTACGACAATCACTATTGAAAAAAGTTTACTGTTCGATAGACAGATAAAACTTGCTCTTTTGTTTCACCCATCAATTAAAATAGATTTTAATGTTTCCAAACCAGCCTTCTTCAATAGTGATTTATTATATTTCGATAGCATTTTTATTTCCGGGAATGTTAGCTTGTAGCCTCAATTGTGTGCATAATTCTTACTTTATTTTCGGGGAGGATTTAAAAAACATGAAAATGAATGCAGTTCCGACGAACTATCCTGTAATTTGTTAATAAAGGACGCCCTTTATAATTTTTAACAAAGGATAGCGAACCCATTGCAATACTTACCACGAGGCGAGTGTATATGCATGCTTATGGGATCGGAGGTGAATCCAGTAGGTCCCGGATGCCTACGAGTTTCTGTTTCTATCTCCTCTCTCACTTTTTTGAAATCAGTAAACCGGATTTCGGGCTTATGAGAAAACACCACATATTCTGAAAAATAACAAAGGAAAAATAAACACTTTTAACACCAAAATTAGTAAAATATTTTCCAAATAGCAAAATGGGTGATTTTTCTACCATTTCAATAACATTCTCAGAGATCATTATCTATATCATCTATAAGTATATTTTATATAATTTATTATGTATTAAATATACTTTTAATAATTATATTAAAAGTATTTTAATATATAAATTATGATAATTATATATACATATACACTATCTGGCCATTAATGACCGGACACCCCTCATTTCGGATACATGANCTGCTTGCGAGTGGTCTTTCCCCCACCACAGGTTCCGTATTTATTCCACCAGGACGAGTCCACCTGCCGTTCAAGGGGTGTCCGGTCATTAATGGCTAGATAATGTATTTTTTTTTAAATTTCCAATGGCAAGGCAAAAAGGTACAAATGGGAAGATGACCCCATATAGAAGCAGGTGGTCCCTGCCCAATTTCTCTCCAGATTTACAAAGTGGACAAAAAGGCGTGGTAGAAAGGCCTATGCGGTATAAGTGAGCAGAAAGACAATCGTGGCCTGTATATAAGCGGAAGGCCGCAACTGCATTATGTCTTGGTTTGTCGGGAATTAAAGAAGAGCTTACATTTCTCCAACTTTTCAAAGCTGTGCTAGTCTGAAGGTCTCGCAATGAGTTGGTTTTATATAAATTATAATAATTATTAATTATATATAATTTATTTATATAATTTTTATTTGCACGTAAAAAAATAAATAACAAGATTGAGATATTTATATCTAGGGCACTACATCTATATACCCTGCTCGCTGACGCTCGTCAACCCTCGAAACTGCTTACCCATTTTTTTGCAGATCTCTTCTACAGTGCAATGATTCATAAAATATAATTCGAGGATGGAAAAACAAAGCGGAATAAAATAAGTATTTCACGTAACGGAATAAATCCGAATGTATTTTTCACAAAATATTTATTTTTGGCGGTATTAATCTTTCAGCTTAATTTTATTTCAATTTACATTATACAAACGGTTTTTTTAATATAAACAAAAATATATACTTTTATTTTCCTTAAAAATATATACTTGAAAATGTAAATAATAAACTAAGAAAATTAAACGAAATGTTACCTTCATGCTGATTAGGTGTCATCTGTACGATGGTGGGTCTTCTGGTAACGGTATCAGTTCCCCGAGGTAAAAACTCCCTAAAACAAAATTAAAATTTTCGATTTGTTGTAAAACTTATCTTTTAATTAAAAAGTCTATGACTAAAAATGCAATAACTACGAAAGATTAATTAGCTCGTGTCTAATATAATATAAATCGGATATAAACAATTTACATACTACTAAAAAGAGAAAATTCCAAAGGATTTGTTTACCATTGCTTAGAAGGTGTTAGTTGCGTAAACAGCCGCTGAAGACTGCGGTTGCTTAAATGTTGTGGTAGTTTGAAAGTTTCTTAACGCATGCTATACATGTTCATTTTGTCCTCGTTCTCCTTACACGGAAAAGGTTACCCGATTCGCCTCAGTCTATTCCTTTGTTGCACGGAAAAGGTTACCCAATTCGTCTCAGTCTATTCCTTTGTTGCACGGAAAAGGTTACCCGAACCAGTCTATTCCTTTATTGCTCGAAAAATGTTACCTGATTCGCCCCAGTCTATTTCTTAGTTGCATGGAAAATGTCCCCCAATTCGTTCCAGTCTACTGCTTTGTTGAACGGAAAAGGTTACCCAATTTGTCCTAATCTATCCCTTTGCTGCACGGAAAAGGGCACCCAATTCGTCTCAGTCTATTTCTTTGTTGCATGGAAAAGGTCACCCAATTCGTTCCAGTCTACTGCTTTGTTGAACGGAAAAGGTTACCCAATTTGTCCTAATCTATTGCTTAGTTGCACGAAAAAGGTCATCCAATTCGTTCTAGTCTATCCCTTTGCTGCACGGAAAAGGTCACCCAATTCGTCTCAGTCTATTTCTTTGTTGCATGGAAAAGGTCACCCAATTCATCCTAGTCTATTGCTTTGCACGAAAAAAGTCACCCAGTTCGTCCCAGTTAATTCCTTTGTTGCACGGAAAAAGTCACCTAATTAGCCCCAGTCTATTCCTTTCTTGTAAGGAAAAAATCACCCAATTCGTTTGTTTATGCCCAGTTTATCCTTTATTAAATACAAGCTAATAAATTGAGTTTTTTCAATAACGCTGTATAAAATATCTACTAACCTTCCAACAAAACTTTCGAGGGTGCTGCTCTTCCCAGAGCTCTGACTTCCGACGACGACAATTTGTGGTAGAGACACATTGAGAGTGTGACCACTGGCCACAAGTTTGTTTTGAAGATCATTCACGACGTCTATCAGATCAACTCCTCCTTTTTGTCTCTTTCCTAAGAGAAGAAATTTAAAATTGTATTTTAATAATAATGCTCAACAGAGTTCTTTTTAATTTCTACGTGTATTTTTTGCGAGATAACTATTCTGTTACTCGATAAATTTATATTTTTAACAATACTATCGACACTTATTACTTTTAAACGTAAATTTTTTTTAAAAAAATATTAATTTCTTGTTAAAAGTATTTTTGTTGTCATAACTTCTTTTCCCTTAAAAATATTAATTAGTAAGCGTTTGGCTTAATAATAAGTAATAGTTTTTAAATAATTAAATAGTATTTATTTAGAACAAATGACAGAGATATGCTATAAAAGAGCTTGGCATTTACATGACCAACTTTAAAGAATATATTTTTAAGTGAAAATCTTAAGAAAAAATGGCAATTTAGATCGACTGAATCCATGATTAGAAGATTAACCCATTAATCGCAGAGGCAAAAAGTGCTCCATAAATGAAAAATACATGTATGAAAAAAAAGTGGTAGTACATGTTTGTTTGTAATAAGGGAATATTTCTTTCCGCTATTAAAGCTTTAATGAGCACTGACTCCAGATCTAAAGATAAATATTTAGATTTAGATCAAAATATTTCTCTTCGTTCTAAAATTCTAATATCTTTGTTCTAAAAAATGAATAATAAAAAAAAACTTGTGATGCCAATTTTTTTTCTCCTTTTTTTTGTAAAAAAGAACCGTCCTTTTAAACGAACGCTTCGCAAAAATGAGTTAAGATTCCATAAAGTCGCATTGCGTCCCAGGGTTAAAATTAGTCGAGAATGGACGGGCTGTGCCACTTAACCCTTTGACGCGGATGAGATACCGGTGTCCCTTATAAATATTATTTTTCTGGCGCTCAAATTACGAGTAAAAATATATTTAGGTATTTTTTAATTACAAAAAACAGTCTAATTACTAAAAAAATCTGCTAGATTGTCGCACTTATATTTGTACAAAAATATAAAATCCAAAAAAAAAAAAGCAGTTCGAAAAATTTCCTTTTCATGAAATTTTGTACCTTTTGCTTATTTTGACCTAAATTAATACAAAATAATAAAGAAAAAGTATGAAATATATGTTTAAAAAAAGTTTTGAGTCTGAGGTTTAAAGTTAGTCCAGAAAAATCGTTTTTGTGCTCTTCAAGATTTAGAATTAGTCGTGAAATGGAGCACGGTGCCATTTAAAAGTTAACATGAGTAAATAATTATTACCTTTAACTTTAACTTCTTCGCCATCGGTAATGGAAACTTCTGTGTCAGAATCTGCAGAGGAAACAAATTAAATACGATTAAAAAAGAAGCAATAATAGAATTGAAAGGACTTCGAAAGAATTGCCAGTTGCAATTTGAAAATTAAAAGGATCACTGTACTTTACGTACGCACGTCAAAACTCTGATGAAGTAACTATCTGAATTCGGTGCTTAAAAAAACAACTTAAAATTCTGTGTTCTTTCGATTTAATATCGAAACGAGCGTACTTGCACAATTTATAGGGTGAGTTAAATCTAAATTCTAATGGATGAGAAAGCTTACACTAAGATCAGATGCATTTACTTTGTTTAAAAATTATTTTCTCCAATTTCGGCGCACATTATTTTTTCTATTGAATCAATATGAATTTTAAAAGGAAATATTTAAGGCAATACATTTTTTCAATTTGTAAAAACGTTTGAAAAAAAAATGCATAATGAAAAATTAAAATAATAAATAAAAACTTAATGCATATATGCAATACAAATTTGTTTACATTAATGAAAATTCTGAAAATGAACTTAATATTAAAGTATGAAATCCTGAAAGCACGTTATTCCTATTTATGCTTTTGATTGGAGCAACTATAATGTATCTGACATAACAAGATTAAAAAAAAAAAACTTTTTTTCTAAGTTTTTCATTTTTTCCTAATTTCAAAAACTATTAGAACATGATTTGACGGCTCGATATTTTATCTTAAGCATTTTTGCTTATTTATTTTATAGCAGTTCTTTTAAGTTTTCATTTCGAAGTAAACCATAATTCGGGTTTTAATTCATTTTATTCATTTTCGACTTATTTCATTTTATTCAAATTTATGATTAGACTAGGCTAAAAAATTTTAAGCACGAGGACTAAAAATTTGACTGAATCACATAAAACTTAATTTAAGATTATTAATGATAAAACGATGAAAAATCTAAATTAATATTTTAAAAATAAAGTATTTAAAGTTCACAGTTATCTTAATCACATTATTTATAAAGACAGGGTTCCACCGAAAGAAGGTTGATTCTGAACCCGTTCGTCTAATTTGAAAAAATATGTTCTTTTTTTTATTCGAAAGATCGATAAAGCTTTTTTTTAATAGATAAAGCATTAAAAACAACTTTGCCCGATCGATATCAGATATCGTAATGTTGTATCGGTTAAATTATTGTGAAATTCAATTACAACTTTTATTTTAAACTTTTTTTTTTATTTTCGTCTTATAGTTCATATTTATACAATTCAAAACTTGAACAAACTTTAAAATAGATAAAAAAAAATAAAAAAAAAACTGCCGAAAACTTTTTGGGTTTCCAAAATTCCGAATTCCTTACATCTACGGCATACCCTCCAACTGCAACGGAATTTCCGTAGTTTCAGAAATCTTCTTTCCTAGTGGTAGCAAATGTATTGTCTTAATATTTTATTAAATTTCAAAAAATAATTAAACCACCACTTCTTATAAATAGTTTAATTCACTGACTTCGGCTTAAAAATATATTAACACGTTCACGGCGGGAAAAGTGAAAATACTGGTACGGGAAAAGAGAAAATACTGGTAGAAGAACTATTTCAATATTAGATAATATTCGGGAGGAGTTAATCTATTCTCAACAATAACAACTCACTGTAAGGAAATTTATGACTTACTTTCTTACTTTATTTAACAAAAGCTGGGCACCTGGGCCGCGCAGAAGACCCATATCCCATTCATCGTGAAATTACAGTAAAATTAAAAATATAAGCAGTTTGTATACAGAGTCTATGGGGTGACAAGAAATTTATAACGGCGAAAAAGCAATTCAATATAAAATTGGCATCCGTTAAAAACAATTGGTAGTTATGGATTTTTATTATTCCCGGAAGAAAACTGAAAAATGAAATTTATTTGTTACCAGTTTTCACTCCGGTGCGCCGCCTGATGAGACAATCTAGCTCTAGCGTGACCCACCGGTGGGTCACCCCGGCGTGAATGTGTTAAAGGTCGGATCAAATGGCCATGTACTTAAGTTACGATAAAAGTTACATACAAGTTCTGTTTGTTTCAAAATCTTCCGCTTTAGTTCACTACCACTGAAAAAAATAATTTTCAAAAACCTCAAATGTTGGAGGGTATGTCTACTAGGCACGCTTTAAAATGCCTGGTATTTTTTATATTTCTAGTAACAACCAATAAAAAAGAAGAAACATAGAAGCAAATAATACTATACCAGGCTACGCTTTTTGTAATAATTTATTCAAGTGGTACCTAAGTTAAATGTTATTATTTTTTATTCATTTGAATTTATCTTCCACACCACATAAATGATTTAAAAGTTCTTGTGCAACGCCACTTAGTTCTAGCTTTTTCGTGGTGAGGCTTTTAAAATGTTGGAAAAATTACCGAAAGTTCTGTAAGCTTTGGCTGTCAAATGTTTGTCACTCAACAAAATATTCTGCCAAAAGCTTAATAGTTGGCAGGTCTGATATAAAAATAAAATTATTATATAAAAAAGTCAAATTACAATAGCAGCAACAAAGTAAAACATGTATGCAAATAAAAAAAAAGGGAAAATATATCTTAAAGCATAATAAAGAGCATTCCGTCTCGCTTCTGGAGCTCTTTGCCCTGAGTAATTCTAAGGAAGATACCAACCTACTCTTCTACAGACTGGTAGAGATGAGTTCCGGATTGCTTTTAGAGGTTTGAGATCGACGAATTTTTAATTAATAAAAAAATACTTGATTCTCGATTTTTTTTTAAAGTTTAGATAACAAATTTTAAAAGAAATAAAAAGTTGCATTATAACTGCGACCAACTATAGCCGAAAGAAAAATCTCCAATAAAGAGATCGAGTTGTTAAAAGCCGCTGTATTGTAAATTAGCGGCTTGGGCTAAGCCCATCTAATTTCTACTGACTTACCCTGCTCTTCCTTGCACTCCGATTTAGAAACGTAATTGGTTAGCTGGCAACGTTTTAAGTTCATAGATATACTGATGCCGCCCTACGCCACTTAAGACTTACCCATTACGGACTGGTTGTTCCAGGGCTTTAGAACGTTAATTTATTTTTATCTAAATTATCTTAATTTTCTGTTTCTTTAAATATTTTTCTAATAATTATTATTAAAAAATTGCACACTTAAAATAGGCCAGGGTTTAGCTCAGTGATTCTCAACCACTGTGCCGCGGCACTTTAGCGTGACGCCAAATTTTAGAAATGTATATAGTAAAAATTATAATGCTTTTTTTTTTATTACGAGTAAAGTTTAAATTAAAGAAAAGTACTTATATATACACTGAAGAGCCAAAAAAAAACTGGTACACCTGCCTAATATCGTGTAAGGCCCCCGTGAGTACGCAGAAGTGCCGCAACACGACGTGGCATGGATTCGATCAATGTGTGAAGTAGTGCTGGAGATAATTGACACCATGAATCCTGCAGGGCTGTCCATAAACCAGTGGGAGAAAGACGGGGTGGGGATATCTTCTGAACATCACGTTGCAAGGCATCCCAAATATGTTCAATAATGTTCATGCTTGGGGATTTTGGTGGATTTCCGATACTCAGGGTATACTCGTGAAATGGTCGTACGTGAAACTCCAAATTTCATTGCTATCTCGGAGATGCTATGTCCCATCTCCCGTGCGCCGACTATAACACCACGTTCAAACTCACTTAAATCTGTATAACCTGGCATTGTAGCAGCAGTAACCGATTTAAGAACTGGGCTTATGCATGCTGTAGTAGAATTTGAAGTTCCTGTCCGCGAAGCGGACACTCCACTTCTTCATCTGTTGTGATGCCCGTAGGCAACTGAGATACTGTCCATAGAGAAAATATGAAGTCCTTATTTGAGATCAACATGGATTGAAGTTGTGGATCATCATTCCGAAGGGGTAGACCCCTTGAGTAGAGATTGAAGTAATCCGAGCACTTCTGAGTTTTTCAGGATATCCTGCAGTTCCTTAACGATGGTGAGTAGGCGATGGGCTGCGGTTGCAGGTGTATCCTTAGACTGTGAGGTTTTTCTTCTGGGGCGGGCCTCGCACCCAGAGAAGTAGGAGGTGCGGCTTCCCTCGCAGTTGCAACATTTGGAGGGAGAATTCATATCCTTCTTGCATTGAAAAGAAAAGTGCATTTCTGCACATTTCATGCATCTGGGTTGTTTCGAGCAGGATCGCTGAGTATGGCCGAAGCCCTGGCAACGGGAACACTGTAGCGGCCGACGGCCGCCACGAAATCTTTCGGTGCTGACTGGGATCTGGTGAATACTCTTCGTTGCAAAGATCTTTTCCTGGTCTGCCATTGGAGCAATGATGAGAAAAAGGGGGAGGAGCCTATAGGTCCCGTGCTAGACACTCGTTGCCTTATATACGCGTTGCCGATCTCAGCGCTGTACTTTGATTGGCTCCATACCCCTTTATTTGCATACTCATGCCTGTACCAGTTTTTTTAGCTCTTCAGTGTATATGAATATTGTAACGAAGATTTTTCACTTTTCCATTTGACAACATTAGAGGAGAGAATTATTCATTATTTCCCAAATTTAGAAATAAAAAAATTTGATTGTGTTCGTAATCCATTCGTGATAACGAATACATCTGTATTTGAATTGAATTTGAAGAGGAAGAACTTATTTCGCTTTCTAACAATCGATATTTAATTTTAAAATATTCGGAAGAATCAATTAATTCATTTTAGATTAACATTAGATGCAATTATCTCATGATAGCCAAAAAAGCGTTAAAAATATTATTAAAATTTTCTACATCTTATTTGTGTAAATTCGGATTTTCAGTATTATCCGGCATAAAAACGAAAAAAAGATCGAGACTGTTAAATGTGGAAGACGATATGACAGCAGCATTTTTACGACCAAATATAAATGAAATTATCAAAAAACATCAAGCTCAAAATTTCTCATTAAAAATATTCTTATTAATTAATCCCTTAATAAACGTACTGTTGTTTTTGCAATACATATTATATTATTTTATTTTACATTCCAAATTATTATCATAAACTATTTTATACAGTGTATTATAGGTAAGTAGACAACTTTTAAAACTTATCTTTTTCTTTGTGTGCTGCCAAATTTTGAAATCGTTAAAAGTGTGCCGCCACCAAAAAAAGTTGAGAATCACTGGTTTAGCTGGTTTCATCTTTGTTTCTGTTTATAGATCTAACGACTAGCGAAGCTTGCCAATTTGAAAGACAAATGATTTAATTACATTAAAACTTCGATTTTGGTTTAACACTAGAAAGACGGAAAATTAGTATATACCTATATCGCCTAAAAGCAGTCAAAATGACAGGATTGTGAATGCGTAAATAAATTTGTTTAAAATTAATTTTTAACATTTTTCATATTATTTACAGTTATTTAACAAATTATTAGTAAATATTAACAATAAAAAAGAAGTTATATGTTGTACAAAAAGTCACAAAATTCTAAGAAATTGTGTCATTGAATACATCATTGTTTTTCTAACTGAAATTAAAAGCAGTCAAAATGACTTCCTTAGGCAATCTAGTGTTAATTAGATGAAATTTCTGACAGTAATCAATGCAAAACATAAAATCAAGATAATTCTGATAAATAATTGTACCGGTTTGAATGGGCATGAATAGTCAATACATAATGGAAAGAGCTACTAGCGGCGTACAATGACATTACCGCTTATGAGTTACCGGACAGTTTACGTTCCTGTACCCTATTCAGTAATCGCTGTACAGCAGGGGTGTCAAACTCAATAGCTAACTTTAGGAGGGCCGCAAAAAAAAATCACTGTTCATAGAAAACAAATATTTTTTATTTTGAATTGTAATAAACATATATAAAGTTAAATTATTGTTTGCGTCCTGATACTTGACATCTCTTCTTTGCTACTATCTTTTCTATTTCGGGAGAAATTTTATAGGCCGAGATTACTTTCAAAATTGACCCAACGTGAGCGCAATTAGTACGGTTTCGGACAGGAGATTTATTTCCATTCATAACAGAAAATAATTGCTCTCACTGATAAGTACTTCCAAACATGGAAATAATTTCATATTTTTGAGTATTTTCAAACCTTGCCGGTAAATATTCGCAAAATTCAGACACAACCACTTCAGTGACTTTTGTCTTCAAATTTGAGTAGCACTGAATCTCAATCAGTTCCATTTGCATGTAACTGAATACTGAGTCTATATTTATTGAGAAAATCGAGGAAAACAAACAAAATTTGTCTTCTAAAGAATTAAAATCTTTAAACTTTGTTTCAAATTCTGTTCGAAGATTTGAAATTTTTCTCTGCGTATTTTTGATACGATGCAGTATCATCTAAACTAGATTTGTTCTTGTTGCACGTTGGGAAGTGAGTTCAATCCTCAATTTTCAGTTGCCTTTCCCAAAGAAATAGTTAACATCTAAATGCTTTAATTATGTCAAACATGTTCGTAATGATCTGATTCTTGCCTTGTAACAATAAATTTAAATCGGATAAGTGTTTGGTTACATCAACCATAAAAGATAAATCTTGCAACCATATTTGATCAGAGAACATGTTTGTATCTTGATTTTTAGTTTGCAAAAACTTACATATTTCTTCTTTCAAATCCCAGAATTGTTTGAGAACCTTGGAGCAAGATAACCAACGTACCTCGCTATGGTAGCATGAACCTGAATATGTGCTATCGAATCGATAGCTTAGTGTGAAACGGACTCCATTTAAGCCAATTAAAATTTTACATTTTCGAGCTTACGATTTAAAATGTGCTATTGTTTATAAATAAAGTATATTATAATTTTATATGCTTGTTTCGTTTCTAATTCCTATTTTATTTTTACTTTGCTTCGAATATATTGACTGGGCCACAAAAATGTTCATCTCGGGCCGCATGTGACCCGTGGGCCGCGAGTTTGACACCCCTGCTGTACAGAATAACCCTGTTTGATTTTAGAATTATTATTAAAACTGAAAGTTTAAATCTGAACACATTAAGAATTACAAACTAATATTTATTTAGGAAAAAACGCTTTAAAAATTTTACAAATCATTGAGATAACTTGCATTAAATATGGGATTTAAACCTTCAAAACTAGTAGTTTGCTGAAATTTTTAATAATAACCTTTGTTTTTTTCATCGTTTTTGTTCCATCAGACAAATAAACGGGTTTTGATGCTTTTAATTCTACTTTTTCACGTTCTGAAAAGTTTTTTTCTTCTCTCACCTGAACATTAATATGATTTGTTATTGCTTTTTCTATTACGGGAACAGGAAAGTAATGCCATTTCGATGCATTTGAAATTTGTTATCAAGATTTTATTTTTTAATCAATAATGTATTCACCCTCGTTAGTAACAACATTTCAATGCCGGATCGGGAAGAAAAAAAAAGAATCGATTTTTAAGACTAACGAATATTTAAATGCACCGAAACGACATTACTTTCGGGTCCCCCTGATGTTTTCCTTGTTTTGTCTACAGTTGTCTTTGTAATCCGCCATTAGAAATCATAATAAAAATAAAAAAATTATTTACCAACAGATATTTTTGACAATAATTTGAAGGAAAAAAAAGGAGATGATAACGGTCTTTTCATATCTGCGTTATATAAGAAGCTACTTTCGGATGGAATAAATTAAGGTCTCAGAAATGCTGATCTTGGTTTTTAAACTTACGAAAATATAAAATCTTCCAAGGCTATTAAAAAAATAAGGATTATTTAAATAACACATGAAAAGCGTTTCGGCAGCAACATTTGCACTTGAAACACAAAGCAAGCTCTAAGCTGAAAACGATTTCGAACAAAAATTACCTTCAGACATACCATTAACTTCCACTTTCACTGGTTTGCTAGTTCCTAAAATTAGAAAGAACAAAAGATATTGTATGCACATTTTTCCTCGGCCATATTTCTTTATTGAAATGGGGGAAAAATTAAAAACAACAAAAATGAAATAAAAATATCTGTAATGAAATATTAACCCTATATTTAACTTTTCGTTATGTTTAGACTTTAACTGTAATATCATTGAAAAAAATAGTTGATTTAGAAGCATTTAAAAGTACAAGAAGGAATTAAAAGGTTTCATAATTTTCTATTCATAAAAACTGATTTGAGGAATATCATTAAATAAGAAGTAAAGGTTACATGAAATAATGTCCGGACTGAGTGTAATGATAAAAATACCATGTAGGTCGGGCTCCTTTTTTTCCTTTTCTTCTATAATAATAATAATAAACGAATATTTTTCGAATCGGAACTTTAAAGCGAAATCAGTAATCACCTGTTACAATATATGTAAATGGTAAGAACCTATTTACAATTGAAAAAAAACTAACATTCAGTTTTCTACATTGTGATAGAATTTGAAATATATGATAATGATAATGAAAAAGGTGATTAAAGTGGATGAGTAGGAGATAGAAAAAACTAGGGTTGAATATAGAATAAAAATTTACGTATTTAAATACGTTTATGATAGATACTAATACATCCTTCGTCTACAGGAGTTTGTGAAAAAGAAAAAAAACGGATCCTGCTGACAAAAATAGGGAGAAATAAAGAAGATAAAATAAATCAAAAGAAGAAAAAAACTATCCAGGATTAATAACGTTTATTTTTTACATTGTTTAATCAGGATAACGTTAAAAATACGCTCTTATCTACTCGAAATTCAGATTCTATGTAATTCATACAGAATTAGATATTTTCAATATTATAGGCAGTGCAAAGTAATTCAACGGTTATTTTAAGTGAAATTTGAGTCTGTTAACGAATAGTAAAATCGGCGGACCCTTCATAAAATTCTTTTTTTCAGAAATAGTCTGCAATTCATGATTACAAAATTACAACTTTTTATAAGACTTTAATTTTCCTTAAATCAGTACGTTATTTTCAGATACTCATATTATAGCGGCTTATTCATAGTTGTCGATTATGTAAAATCTAAGTTTTACTTCAAGTATAGAAATTTACAAGCGTAATTATTTTTACTTTCATAGGCGCTTAACCCTTTCGCGCCGACTGTCACAAATACGTGCCAGTATAAAACCGTATCAACCAGGGTAAAAAGATAAAACTGGTAATCAAAGTAATTCTGTAGCAGTTTATTTGTGAGCGGAGTTATACTTGCTTGAATTATTTAATTCACCATTATTTTGTTCAAAATAAAACTATTTAGTTATACTTTGAATTATCATTGATTATATATATGATTAAACTAGCAATAATTAAAGTAAAACCAAAGTAAGTCTGTCAAATTAGAAACGACTACTTTTAAGTTACCGTTTTTTATTAAATTACATCCTGATTCTGATTTCGTTCGAATGCGTTTGTGAATCACCCGTCCCCAAGGGGTTAAGAACACCTTTAACATGGTTCCAAAGTGCCTTAAACAATTTTAAAAAAGGTAACGAAAATGTGATAAACAGTAATAATTCAATACACTTGCGATGAACAATATGTGTAATTTATAAAAAAGAAATAGTGTATAAAAATATTTCCAAAAGAATTTTAACTAGCAAGATATTTTAACTTTAAAGAGACATCTGAAAGTAAGAAATAATTACTAGCATGACTGCTGACTTACTACCACTACTAACACTTTTATGGCTTCTAGTTAGAAGAATTTTTAAGACCATGCATAAGAAGAATTAAAAATCATCATTTCTCTGTATTTGAACATTACAATTAATATTTGCAGCGGCCGTGATGATTCAGGGAATAGAGAGCTCGTCTTCTAATGAGGTGCCCCTAGTTCGAATCCCAGCGTCGAGTGGTTGATACGAATTCCGCAGCCGGCACGCACTTACCACAATGCTGGCGAAACATATTATCAGTGGTAAGCGGATCATGAGTTAAAGTCCCCTTGCAGTGACCAGTGAGACAAACCGTAGGAGGGTGTCGGGGTTTTCCTCTCCATGTCTCCAAATGTAGGCTAGTTCCATCAAAAAGTCCTACACGAAGGTAAATTCCTCCCAGTACTTGATCCAGGAGTTACCTTGTCTTCTGGATTGGGTTGCAAATTACAAGGTTGCGGAGTTGAACATTAGTAGTCGTAAACCCAAAATTGGGTCAGCTGTTCAACGACGGTGATAAAAAAAATAAATTAATAATTGATAACTCTACTTATAAGAATACATTATATTCGCTTGCTAATTTATTTCCTGTTTTGGCAGAAGCAGAAAAAATTAACAGACGCGATGGAAATAAATATCTCAGATGGAATGGTTTGACACATAACAGTACAAATTTTTTAATTTTTTTTTTTTTATTCTGCACTCAGCAGTGTCATCAGTTCGATAACTTTGTGTGCTTGAAGTTAAGTGAACCTCCATTTTCTTTGTTGTTGACGTATACCTGTTTAGGCAGAGAGGGGGTGCGATTGTTCTTGTTTTCCAGTGGCGCCATCTATGGCCAAGAATTCCCTCCATTTTCTACCGTACAATATAAAAATCGACAAAAAATAAATAAAATTTTAAATTGAGATAGCAAAAAGTTTTCTTTTTTCAAATATTATTTTTTTTAATTTTTTCTTTTCTTCGTAGTTGTATTTTTTGCGTTCATAGTTTTAACTAATGTAAGAAAATAATTAGTCATTTTTCTCGAAATCTTAAGTTGATTTTTCAATTGCATGGCGCTTTTAACTTCATATGCTTTGAAACACCCATATATTTTCCAATACTTAAGAGAGTAAATTATAATGAATTAGTTTTTTTTAAAACTTTAAGCAGGAGATAAAATGCTTCACTTTTTATAGCTAAAATTGGAAGATGAATTAGGAGATACAAAGATAGTATTAGCTATCAAAGGATTGTAACAACAATGACTTTTATTTCTGGAAAAAGAAACCGATAGTTGTTCCCTGAAAGATTAGGAAATGACGTCATGTCAATCTATTCAACGTTTAGTTGTTTCAAAGGTAAGCAACAGTAAAGATAAGTTTTAGATAAACTGTGAGGAGTCATCATTAAAATATTTATTATTTCAATACTTTGCATTGTAATGCGCTTCTCTGCAATAAAAATAATCTCGAAATTCCTAGTAAAATAATTCGTGCAAACAATGGTGTTAGTGTAGTAATGACGCGTTAAAACGTCTTCATTACTATCATATCCATCGAAGGTCGTGACATGCTACAACTTGCTTTTCTAGTTATACGAAAGTTTAAATTAGACTTAGGTTGAAACAGACTCTTTGTGAAAGGTCCTATTTTTTTTTGAAAAATCATTGTTTTGTGAAAACTCATTGTTTGGGAAAAATAGTATTCTATTTTTATGATTTTGAGAAAAATCACAAAAAACAAAACCTTATTTTACGAAATTATGAATAGAAATTTCTCTGATGTCATTTGTTGCTGTTAGAGTAGATTTTATTTTGATTGATATAACATCTGATCTGTCGAGACAATTTACTGGACTTCTCGGTTCGACTAGACCCGTTCTTTTAAAAATTAGAAGAGATTTTTCAACTTTCCCAAGGCAGAAGTTTTTTCTATTTATTTTATTAGTACACATACATCAGGGGTCTGTTTAGAAGAAATTTGGGTCCGTTAACGGACCCTTCACAAAATATCTTTTCATAAAAACGGATCCTTCACAAAATATTTTAACTTAAAAACGGACCCTTCACAAAATAATTTATCTTTTAATCGGACCCTTTGCAAATTTGTTGGGAAGAAAGACATGTAAACGAGCTAAATTTTGTCTTCGTCAGACGCTTCTTCCTTTATTCGTCCGAAATGAATATTCTGCGTTCAGCAGTATAGGCTAAATACCAAATATTTATATGTTGCATCGCTGATTTAGTAGCTGCAATTGCTGTTTTTTTTTAATATTTAATTTTTTTTAATTAGAATTTTACAATGTTGAGCATAATCTTGCATGTCTTTAAAATTTAAAAAGTTCTTGAAAAAGTTTTTTCTTTGCAATAACGGACCCAATTTGCACAAATACACAAAAGCGAACACTGGTTGAAAGAATGTGACTTAACGCTTATTTTATATTCATAAATTACGAATAATTTTTTCACTATTTTACAAAAACTGACCTGTCACAAAATGTCTGGACAGACCCCTGTACATGTGGAGGCTCATGAGGTCAATTACAAAAGAAAGTCTTATAAGCGTTTGCCACGTTAACAAACAACATATTTCAGAGAAACACAGCATGAAGATACAACCAGGGTTATGGCGGGATTCAAACCTGCATAAAATGAAATCATCATGCAATATCATCCCTTTGGCGATTCCTTGAAGATAGGCGATTAAGAACATTTAACGCATGCGCTCTATTGCTAAAAGCAAGATGGCCTCGGAAACAAAACCCGCTCTTTTAATTAAATTAAATTCCACTTTTCCTAGATGCATAGAATATAAAGAAAAAAATACACCTGAACAGTTGGTTGAGAGTGAATCTAAATAAATAAAAAAAAGATGCTGAAAATTTCAAAAAAGAATTTTCTAAAGCTTCTTCGTTTTTGTAAGTATATATAATCAAAAGTCAAATCCTCAACTCAAAGGTAACTACAACTATGTTTTTCTTATCATAATTATTTCTTATGTTTTAGGAATCTCTATCTACATATTTTACAGAAAAAAAAACTCTTATTTATATGCATGAAGTTTTCCTCTCATTTGTTTCAACGTCAATAACTCATTAATTAGAGCATAAATTAACATTTCCAGCTATTCAAGAACTTCAAAAACCGAAATAGGAAGTCTTTTTTTTTTCTTCCATTTTATCTATCAGAATTAGTGACTAAATTTTAGCTTTTATTTTTAGTAGATATTAATCGGTGTAATGAAATCAGTTTCAAACTGTATGAAAATGTTATTAAATCGAATTATATAGATAAGG